GTAAACACAGCGAAGGCTGTGTGTAAAAGACACAGCTCCACTTCCTACTTGGCGAACCTGTAAGTTTCTCGTGTGCACGAGAACGTATCTCTTGCGCAAGACAAAGTATATCGTGATGAGCTAAACATGTCACTTGGCCCAGGTGGTTTCCACAGAACGGACAAAACATGTTTAACGACCATAAAGGTCCATAGGTACCGGCGGTCTATCCGACAAAACAAACAAAGTTTGTGTCAATCACTTGCACGTCACTTCTGGTATGATGGGCATTCCCTTTCCGGTTTGATTCACGTTTGTTAAAGTGTTTCGGCAAATGTTAAAGTGTTTCGGGAAATGTTAAAGTGTTTCGACACTTGTACATTTTTCTCTAGCTCTGTAAAAGTGTTTCGCATCTTGTTAATTTGTTTTTGTTAATGGTAAATCGTTTTTTCTTTGGTAAGAGTGTTTTGCTAATGTAGTTTTGTTTTATAAAATGTAAAAAAAATTATAAAATGTAAATTTGGCAGTGTTTCACACTTTGAGATTGTCGATTGCACCTCTCAGTCACCGTAAAACACGGTATAGTGTCAGAGAATCATGAATGGACACCATTATTTTCAAAATCTCTAAATTTCACATTCAATAGCATTTTTTTTATTTTACAAAAAACAAATACATTAGATTAGACCTTTAAACAACACAATCAGAATTATAATAACAGGTATTCAAATAGAATGACATTAACTGTTTTTCAATATAGTAAAAGCAGAGCAATAACATAAGATGTCCCAAATTCGATGAAGGCACAGCAGAGAAAATAACTCATTGAAGAACAGAGTTTTTCATTTACATTTCCAAAGTGGTTAAAGTTGGGTTGAATGTAAGATAATAAGGAAGTTGGCTGTGAAAGAAATTGGCCATTAACAGCGCCACCCTGTTTGGTTTTGTACGCGAGGCACTTACCCAGCTGGCTGCCTTCTAAATATCTCACCGGATTTATGTTCCTTAGGATCAGAGTTTTTATTTCAGCCCCCACTGTGGTCCCCATTATATGCTTTTATTGTTAAATTCTGCAAACGTGTGGGTGTTGGTACATCAAACTGTCACAGACGGAGGAAATCACAAACATAAATTATTTGATTATAGGGCCGTTGTCCCTATTTGAGATATTATCGGATTATCACCTGTAAGAACGTATAGCCCCACCAGCACCAGGTGCAACGAGTGACCAGCAGCTTGTCAGAGTGATTAAAGGACATTTTGCCCCCAACTGCCCCAAACTGGCCCTCCCTCTCGTCAGATGACAGAGCTGCATGTAGAGGACTAGATGGAGACAGATGCATCTTTGAAGCCTGTGTAACGGAGTTAAAAATGTGTATAAATAATTATTAGTTTATAAATTACGATTTATAATAGGTTGTGAATTTTATCTTTACGAGATTGTTTCCTTAATATTTTTGAGTAATGTTTCTAGTGGGAACACTTTCGTTGCACATTGTTTTCTACTTCCTGTATGTCATTTCCACTTTCCCCTCACACTGAAGTGAGGATTGCTGAGGATTTTCAACGAAGATGTAAAGGACATGTTGTGTTTGTTCTCAGAATAAATGCCAGAAAACACACTCAGAGGCTTCCCTGTCCGTTTCCTGGTCGATAACGAGTCGCTTACGGTTGTGACCCGTTACACCTGCATGGCTCATACGGCTAAATTAGCTGGCAAAAGAGGGAAGAAATGCTTGCACACGAGGTGGATCGGGGTTTACAAATCTGACTTAAGCTTGAGAGAAGAAATAGCATTTGTACATAGAGAATTTCCAACTTGCATTGGAATACTACTTTTCACCACATAATATCTCAATGTCTCCAAAATCCCTGGGTGACCTTGGTTGGTTATTGGCTAATGGGTATACAAGCCAAAACATAGTTATGACATCATAAAGTGGCCAAAATCTGACCAGCTCATTTTCAGACAGGTTTTTATATAAATGGATCAGGAAAGCAAGTGAGCACATTTTTTTTCCTGAAACGTTCAGAATCTCTAAACGCAGAGGAGACGCATTTAAAAGTGGATTTTACATAATAGGCGACCTTTAAAGGTGGGGTATGTAATTTATTTCAGAAACAGTTTTTGTTATATCGCATGGAATGCTCTTAGCATCCCGATAGCAATGAATATATTAAATGCTTTGACAATAAATACATAAAATAATTTCATCTGTGGAAGCCGTGGCGCTGTAAAAAGCACGACCAATCATCTGAGCCGGCCCGGCTAAAATAACTGGAAGGCCCACCTGCCTGTCAGCCCAAACTGATCTTGTGCCCTCATTGGTCATCTGCGCGTTTGTGTGTGTTGGAGGAGGGGCTCTGTAAGGAAGTCTGAAGGAAGAGGCAGATTTGTTCCGGTTGTGTACTTTCAAATTCTAGCGCACTCGAGCTGGTTTCTCAAAAATGACATACCCCACCTTTAAGTCAATAGATAAAGGATAGGTCAAACTTGGAGGTGCAGCAATAGTTCAGTATGAAAAATGCTCCAGGCCTCTAGGGGGCGCGTTACGTGGAACAGATTAATGTCTGATCAAACATAGAGAGAACGAACAAGAGTGATGGAAATTGAAGCCGGAGGAAACAAAGTTGATCGAAGTGGACAAAGTCGATATATAAGAAGGTACGTTTTGTTTTTATACAAAAAGTGTCATATTTACCCAGCTAGCGTTAGCTTGTTTGGTAAAAGAACTTGCAAATCAAGAGACAGCACTGTGCACCTAAATGTAACTCTTGAAATCATATAGATATATTATAGGTGCAGAGAGGAGTTGGTTTATTGTGCCCCAATGTAAATCCTAATGTGAGAGTTAAAGGACGGTCAACCAGTGGCGAACCGTGTCTATCACAACTGGACCTTCTGTAGACACACACACCCCCCGCCGCCGCCGCCCCCCCGGCGTTATAATGTCCGTCTTTTCACTGAATTGTCGTCTTGAAAAGGGTAGCCTACTCACAACAATTCCGCAACAACTTCATCTTCACCTGTTGCACTTGTCATTTCAACGTTAAAAACAATAAAACGGCATGAATTGCTTCGTCGCATTCATCTAGATCTTCTGCCTCGAGCCAGTTAACTAGCGGGCCTTTTATACCTCATTCACACCAACGCAACTCCGGTTCAAGCTCCGTTCTAGAGCTTTTCAGGTTCAGAACCAGTTCTTCGGTTTAGCTCTGGCTCTTTTCACACCGCCCAGAGTCCGACTGGTAATGCGTCGTTGCGTCATCGTTTGCGTCATGACGTAACCGTTTGCGTGCCTGCTTCATAAAGCCAAACCGCGCGGATGAAATCAGTTGCATTCATTTCTTATGGCTCTATCTGCAGCTTTTCCGGAGTCATTTCTGTGGTTTTTAGTTATATTCTTATAAAAAAGTGTACTCTTGTCAATAAAGGTTTTTTTAAAACACAACTGCTTCCGAGGTCGGTCTTATTTCTTAAGGTGGACTGAACCATGAGTGTGGAGTAACGTTGTATCTTTCATTTAAATGAACTGTAACCTTCACCCAGGTATGTAACAGCTGTTCTCAAATGAACACGTGAAGTAAAGTTTAATATTTATAGTTTTATAGATTTATAATGAGAGGTGATCAACGTGAATGCTCAGGTTCCACCTTAACACGCAGACACGTTGCTTCACCATGAGCAGAAACCTTTATATATATAGTCTATGGCAGAAACACTGAAACTCTTGTTAAGTTTCTCCATCGTTGTGTACAAACCATGGTACAAACTGGATAAAACGCGGGCTTTTTGTTGTTGTTCAGGAGTTGATCTGTCTCTGCCCCCGCCTCGACGTAAGCGTGACGTATGTGGTGCTTTTGCTCTGGCCGGACAATTTTTTGGTGCTTGAAACGAACCGGATTCCGGAGCTAAGAGGCTGCTCCGCTGTGGTGTGAAGAGGAAAACCTGGTGCTTTTCAAGCTCCAGCTCCGAACCGGCCCTGAAACACTGTTGGTGTGAATGAGGTACTAGAATACCCTAGAACCGAGGCGAACTCTGAAAGAATACGCCCATTGGCTACAAATCAATATATGATTGGTTGATCAAACTGTCAGTCTAAATGTACGCTCTCATTCAGTGCAACAGCCAGGGCATTCTATCAAGGATGTAGAACACCTTGGTTGAAGGATATTCTACCCAGAGACCCATAACAAGATCTGATTGGTTGCTTTCTTTTCTAACATAAAACCACTGATATGCGTAGTGCATGGACCGAGAAGAACAAACAAATCAATGTAACACTGTAATATTACAGATCAACAACACAGATACGATTCACTGAGACAAATGTAACATTTGTGATATTGGGCTATATAAATAAACATTGATTGATTCTCATTTATTCATTTTATATACATTTTATTTATATAATTAAATCGATTTTTTGTTTGTTTTATCTGAGTGTTCCAGGGTATTCTCTGAATACCTTGAAGGCCCTGACGGTTCGCCACTGCGTTCAACAATATAATGTACCTTGGTCAATTTGGATTTATCGTTGCATATATTCTTAATTAAAGTGAATTTATTTTATTTCAGTCATTTGTGTGTATGCAGGTGTGGAACATTCCAAATGTTCCAAAAGTGAGCACTCCACGAATGGACAACAGTTTGCCAGGGTAAAATAAAACATTGTCAACATATTATTTGGTACCACAAGAAGCAGAATGTTTTAACAGTACAGTAGTTTGAATATATTTGTTGTTTACCTTTATCAGACCTCTCAGGCACCCACAACCAGCGTCTGATCGGGTAAGACTAATTAAAAATGTAATTATACCATGTAGGTTTGAATGTGTGAACATGAAATCAATAAATACCTTTGTGTGCTAATGACATTGTCATTAGATCAACTGCACTTATTTCCTGGGTAAAAATAGGATGGAGAACCAACCGCATTCCAGGAAGAGGTCCAGTCTGCCCCGGGTCAGAACACCTTCTATAGGTAAACGATGTTGACAGTTGCATCGTGACACAGTTGTGTGGTGTGTATCTTTATTTGTACATTTGTTTGTTTGTATAGCCTCCAATCACAGTGGGTAACATTGCCAGGAAGCAGAACAATTATACTTTCATACATTTCCAAATGACACCCACAACATCTGACATCTTAGTGAAGACGATACAAAAAACACCCACAAATATTTTTCAAAGATCAGATATTGTTTCTTGCATCCATTTAAAATGTTTACAAGGATTGTGCAGGAGTATGACAAAAGTGCTGTTGTCAGTTTAGAACCCAATGTATTAAAAAAACAGGAAGAGGATCGACATCATTGCATTTTTTGTAAATATGACTGTCATGCATATACTGTATGATGTATTTGAAAGTAATTATTCATCTGTCTTCTCACTGCAGCAACTACATAATTGTGTATGCACCTATCATTATTGATAGCCAGTCTGAGCCAGAAGACAAAATGGAGCAAAGGTATTAATTGTTACTGTTACCACTTAATTGTTCTATCTATACTGTAAATCTTATTACTAGCTTCATCATTTAATATTACAAAACATCACTTTGTCTTTCCCAGCACAGCATACCTGACTGCGGAGGACATTGTTGCAGAACTCTCTGCAAAAATAACAAATACATCTTGCAGCAGGTTCAATATGAATAGAGCCAATGTATGGGATGGAGCAATCCGCGGCTTCAAATGTGCCTCATTTGACCCCTCTCATTCGACGTCAGTTAAGTTCACTGATGATGAGGGACAAACTGAGGATGGAGGGGACACTGGTGGTCCCAAGCGTGAGTTCCTGACCCTCCTTATGGAATGCCTGAGAATGGGAAGAAAACATCATGTCATAGCAACTGTTTGTGCCCCATGGCGGTGTGACTTTCCCAGCCTCTCACTGTCTCAAAATCTGATTCTAAATGTATAATTTTCTCTATAAAGATAGAGATAATACACAATTATTAATGTATAATATAAGCTGTTTTGTGTATTTAATCATGTATTGGTCTACAATTTAATGATGGCTTCTACATATTTCACATAAACAGACAATGAAAAAATGTGTCCTTCATGCTGATAACTAGTGTATGCATCTGCCAATTAGTATTCTAAACAGAGTAGTGTGTTAAATCCTTATTTCTTGCATTTGAAACAGATACAATAAAAAAAGTGAACTTACTGTTCAGTTCAGGTTCAGGTTATTTATGTGTACCCATAGGTAGATTCTGTTTACAGAGAAAAGGAGAAGGGTTCCATCCTGACACTAAAAACAAACACAAACACATCTCTAATAAAAGGACAAGTATACCCTGCTCAACAAAATCTCAAAATATTTAAAAATCATTTTAAGAAGGAAAACAACTTCTGCCAAAAACTGTACATTTTTGCCACAGGAGCCACAGAACACTTGAACTGTCCCCAGATGTTGGCCACAGAAAGGACAAAACATGGCAGCCTGAAAATACATACATTGATGTAGTAAATCCATTTAATCAAGTCAATCAAAAACACAGTCTAAATAGTGGTTAGCTAAATAAATAGAAAGATACATCATGTTTACCGTTGAATCTGTGTTTTGTCTCTCTCTCTCCTTGAATGTCTTCTCTATATTTGTTCTTGAGCATGTCTAATGCACACTACTCTCCTGTCATCAGGGCCGTATCCAGGATTTCCTAAATACCGAGGTCCAAACAAGTTAGGGGGGTTCGGGGGATACCCCCGGAGATTTTTGGGATTTTCATGATCTAGTTAGGTGCTTTTTCAGTCCTGTGGGGAGTCACAAATTGGATAATATATTGATTTCAAATCATGTCAGTGGGCTGACAATGTCAGCATCAATTATTTTGAAAGTGTAATACATAAGAATCAGTTGATTGTTACTATTAATGATCTGGACATGCAGAAGAGGCTAAAATGATCACAACACATTGTCAGCATTCATTTTCCATGTCTCTCTCCTTTCCATAACCTGCAGCCTCTCTTCCATCTTCTTTAGTCTCTCTGTCCTCTACCCTTTCTCTTTCTTCAACCTCTCCCTCATTTTTTACTTTTTGCTCCTCCTCACTTGTCGCTCCTGCCAGTGAATTAAAAGCAATTCAGCCATTTAGTTCATTTCACTTGTTTGTTTGCATTATTTTTTTTATTTAAATCTGTTTTGTTTGATTCTCAAAAGAGAACAAAGATGTAAGCAAATTGTGTTTTATACAATTGTATGTTATTATGACATAACTGCAATAGATGTATGTTGTTTTAAAATTATGCCTATTGTTATAGATAAACAGATAGATAAATAGATGGGGTTATTAAGCCTACATTCTTTTGTATGACTGTACCTGCAGTTCCTCCCCTCACTTTCTCTCTCTCTTTCTCTCTGCCTGTCCTGTCTCTTCCTTACCAAAGCTGAGCTTCGACTGACGTAGTCTTTTCATTATATCTGAGTCAGTGTAAAAAGAAAACAATACAATGTTATATCTTCAATGTTTTACTCAAATTAAAATGAAAGAAAAGCATTAAAACGTTGGTTAAAAGGTAATCCTTCTAACATTGGATGAATGTAATTAACTTTAGCTCTCTAGTTAGTTTATTCACGCAATTTAAATCAAAGTATAGCCTATAGCTGCAATATAAGTTAGTGTGCATGTTGTCGGACGTCCACTGACTATCGTACAGCGTTCACACAGGATCTGCTGGTCATATGATGTCCTGATGAGAAGAAACACAAGCAGCCCGCTGGACTCAGATCTCTAGATACTTCATCAATCCTCCGCTGCTCCGGTTCAAGTCCGGGCTGCGGTGGTTTGTTGATACATGTCGTCTTCTTCTGTTTGCTTTAATCGAGGCTACGTAGTTATGCAGTGCCCCCATCGTCAGTAAATGGAAGTACTACAAAGAACCCCGTTTAGTGCAATTATTTCACAAGTTTTGTTATACACAGCTCGGAAAATATTACCAAGGTCCGGACCTCGGTGACCTCAATGGTAGATACGGCCATGCCTGTCATTACTTTGTCCCTCTTCACATTTTGTCACTTCTCCACCGGCCATAGGTATATAGTATTGCTAAAGCTCTGTATAGTTGCAAAATCTATACACAAATACATACATATAAACAAACTGCTAAGAATGTCTCTCTCTCTCTTCAAATGTTTCCGCGGTACTCACTATGGCCCGTGTTATTTACCTGCACTCAATTTGTCATCTCTTTTAACAATGTTCTTCCCTCACTTTATCTTCTCTTCACGTGAAGCTCTCCTCTCCTCAGTTGGTGAAGTAGTTACTGTAGGGACGCTAACGCTAGCTGCGTAAATATGACGCTCTTTGTATAAAAACAAAACAAAACGTACCTTCTTATATATCTACTTTCTCCACTTCAATCAACTTTGTTTCCTCCGGCTTCAATTTCCATCACTCTCGTTCGTTCTCTCTATGTCTGGTCGGACGTGAATCTGTTCCACGTAGTGCGCCCCCTAGAGGCCCGGAGCACTGTGTGTTTTGGGGTCTGTAAATGCAGTGTTTTTTTGTTGTACTTGTTTTCAGGATTTGTTTGTTTTTCATTTCATTATTTTTGAAATGTATACATAAGTAGTTTCCTGCTTATATATACTTTTTTGGCCGTTGTTCCGCGTTTGCCACCGTAGGTTTCATTTCTGAATGCACTGACAACCTATTTTATCATTCGGGACTTCTTGAAAATTGCAGGGTTTTCAGATGACAACAGCAATTTCCTAATAATACACAAATGAGTTTAAATAATTACCTTGTTTGCATAGGACGTTATGTGTGATACATTGCTGCGATCATGGCGGCACAAGTGGCTTTTGATTGTTTAAGTGGAACCCTTACTGTATGCAGCATGCCCAACACAGCGGAGTCTGACAGCAGTGAGTCATGAATGAAACGTGATCCAGACAACCCCCTTCAAATACCCTGTGTGAGAGCCTTGTCTAAAACGGCACACATCAAACACCTATGACCTGCTGCCTGGCACTAAATGCTGCTCCCCGAGGCTGCCATTGTCCATGGTTCACTGTCAGGAGAACTTACATGGAGTTAAAGTACTAAATCCTCCTATTGTCCTAGCGATGTGGGATGTCACTTTAATGGATGTCCCTGAATGAATCTTTCCTGATCTCCTTTAAGAAAATTGAGTGCCACACTTAGTCAGCATGGGTGACATTGTCCTTTCAACGCGGCTGCAGGTTGGATCCAAAATATATAGAGTAAATATGTAAATTTGAAGGGAGTACAAAGCAGCGGCTCCTGCTTGATCTAGTCTGTCAGCGGCCCCCGCAGCCTATTCCGTTCAGTTCAAGTGGTCGCGAGTGGTCTTTATTCCTGAGAGGAAGACTGGCAGCTTTAGCACAGACCTGAGTGAGAATACTTCACATGATTGTCAGTCTCCAGTTTTCCACAAGACAAAATCCTCTAGAAAGGTACAAACCTGTCAATACAGTCAACCTGTCTCTTTGGAGTTTGAGGGGAGAAGGTGAGAGGAAATACTAGCGACTATCAGTTCAGGCCATGTTAGTGAAAGTGAGTTACGCTATCTGGTAAAACCAATGTTCTCTATGCTGGGCACATACTAAAGAGACACATACTGTATGTGACCTGCTCCATCGTCACATTGACCCGAAGACACATTTTGAGTTGTATACACTGTTGGAAAGAGGAGATTCCTAGCTTTCTAATGATATCAGGATTGTTTTTGTACTCCAAATATTAAGCAAAAGTATGTCACATTATATAATGACTGTCACCGAGTCATCATTTTGAGAAAAAGGCCTTTAAAGTGTCCTCTTCTCTGGAATTCATTGATCTGATTGATTATTAGCGGAGCAAATTATCAAAATACTATGGAGGGAAGATATTTCCGTTTGGATTACTGGTCTGGGGGAAGCTCGCGAGTGTGTGTGTATACGTGCACTGTAAAAAAGGATTTGATGATTAAGTTATTGTAACTTTTGTCTTTAAGTTACTTTCACTTAATATATCAATTTATGCAATTTATACTTAATTTCATAAGTTGTTATTATTTCGACTCAGCTCTGTAAGCCAGTTCAATTACCTCTACATTCTATGAAGTCAATTTGACTGAACAGTGTGAGTTGTGATGTGTAATGTTCTGGAACTTTCCATGGCCTCTTAACATGGCAGTAGTGATGACATATTCCTGCCAGGTGAAAATAGTCCCGGTCTCATAGTTGTTTTCATTAATTGAAGGCATTTAACAGGGACATGAGTTTTTAATTTGTTTACGATAAGTGAACCAAGTGAACCACCGAGTTTGATTCGCCCTTATCAAAAGAAGAACTTCAACCGGACAGATTGATGACTACGAAAAGCTAAGCGGCGGATGAATACGTTTTTGTAAAGCGATGTGACCAGTGCTTGAATTACGCAGTACCGGCACTTCTGATTTTTACCCATGTGGTACCGGCACTTCTTACTGAGTACCGGTGTTCCGGATAAACTGGTTTCCCGATCAACTGGGGCACAGAGGTGGGGGGCGTGGCCTTCGACTGAAATACACATTTCGATCGCTTCTTCTGTCGTTTACATACATCTTTTGGTATATTTGGCTCGGTAGGAAGACTTTGATGCACATTCCGTACCAGTGTGTGAGGTTGTGGTTACGATGGCGATATCCGGACGCGAACAGCGAGGACTACAAAAAGAAAAACGAGTTGACATGGATGTCTGTTCAAAACATTGCGAACTCCAATAAATCATTTAAACCAGCTATTGTTGCCAGACTTGTTACTGAATATCGTTCTTAATGTGATACCAAGTCCATCTGAGACCTGTGTACACCTTCAGATAGCCTCCAAGTGAAGCGTAGGTCTACGTTGTTTAGTCACAGTTTGAAAGCAGCGTGGAGAACTCTTCAGCTGTGGTAAGCTGTGATCCGCTCGAATACATCATTAAAAACCAGCTATTGTTGCCCGATTCATCACTGAATATTGCTCCTAATGTGATACTAAGTCCATCTGAGACCTGTGTACATCTTCAGACAGCCTCCAAGTGAAGCACACAGTGTTTACTCACAGTTTGAAAGCAGCGTGGAGAAGTCTTCATCTGTGTTAAACTGTGACCCGCTCAGGTAAACGGCGATCCGCCCAGGTTAAACTGTGTTACGACTTCTGTGGCTATCTACCAGCGATCATGTTTAATATGAAAAACTACACACACATGTATCCCTTATAAAAACGGTATTCTCCAGCACTCATCCAGATAAGATGTGACTGTTAACTCGTTTTGCAAAGATAGCAGCAGAAATGTCATTGCTGCATGTGTAGGGACAGGGCCGTATCCAGGATTTCCTAAATACCGAGGTCCAAACATGCTAGGGGGGTTCGGGGGATACCCCCCGAGATTTTTATGATCTAGTTAGGTGCTTTTTAAGTCCTGTGTGGGGTCACAAATTGGATAATATATTGATTTCAACCCATGTCAGTGGGCTGACAATGTCAGCATCAATTATTTTTAAAGTGTAATACATAAGAATCAGTTGATTGTTACTATTAATGATCTGGACATGCAGAAGAGGCTAAAATGATCACAACACATTGTCAACATTCATTTTCCATGTCTCTCTCCTTTCCATAACCTGCAGCCTCTCTTCCATCGTCTTTAGTCTCTCTGTCTTCTTCCTGTTCATTACTCTCTCTGTCCTCTACTCTTTCTCTTTGTTCAATCTCTCCCTCGTTGTTCACTGTTTGCTCCTCCTCACTTGTCCCTCCTGCCAGTGAATTAAAAGC